AATTGTTGCTCTTGTTAAAATTTTATTAAAAGTTATGCTTGAAATATAAAAAGTGAAGCTAGATCTTCAAAATTAATGATTTGTCCCTAAAGTACTTTAGTGTCTCGAAAAAAATTCCCAGCCCTCCCTATTTTCGCATGTCCAATAACAAGAAAAAGAAGTGAAGCCACGTCATATTCCGATGGAGTATTTATTTTTGAGTGGTGTCATAGAAATAATTTATTTCTTTAATTTTTTTATATAATTTTTATATATAATTAAATAATTAAATATATTTAATATAATGAATTTTATATAAATTAAAAAAATTAATTATTTTAATAATATATTAAATTATATTAAAAAAAAGGTAAAAAGGTGATATAAAAAGATAAAACAAAAAAAGTTGTACAAATTTTTTTTGTTTTTTTCTTATGTGGCAAGATTTCAGGGGCACGTACGATCATGTCTATATATATAGTAGGCCTTCACATTTCTCTGCGTCGGTTTAGGTCTAGCTCCTGAATCACCGGTCGGTGGTAGTTAAGCATTTCGTCTCCGAAGCAGAAAGTTCGACGGTGAGGAAGAAGGAGCAGGAGGAGGAAAACACACACTCTCAGAGAAGCTTAAATGTAAGTTTTTCTCATTTTAAGTCGACTGTTTTCTCTCTGTTGAGATATCTTTAGTGGATTTTTGTGCCATTACTTCATGAGATTGTTAGTTGAAAGCATCTTATTGGTATCTATTCCTCTAGTTGATTATGTGATTAGGAAATGTAAAGAAAAATTTCCATATGTGTAGGTGTTAATGGAGTATTCATGTTCAATGTTGGTTGAAAGCATTTGGTTAATGTGTATTCGGTTATATGTTAAGGAAAAGTCGAGAAATTTTGGTATGTGTTTGTGTTAGAGAACCTTTGACTTCGTAATGAGTAGGAAGATATATAGTTTGATGAGGATATTAGTTGGAAACTGTTTTATTTAGTATAAAATATGCTTGACTTGGTAGAAAATCAGGATTGTAGGTAGGTAGGACTGTTAAAAATTGTGGGTGAGTTTAAGGAAAACACTTATGCTATTGTCTTGATCGAACTTTAATCTTTGTGTTATTGCTCAAGAGGCAATTAAGTGTTTCTAAGTTATACAATGGATTAATGAACAATTAAGACAGTTTTTATATATACATGTACTGTAGTTAAAACAAGTTGGACCTTATAATAGGTAGATTTGCTAATTTTATTTTTGTTTTTCTTTCAAGTTTACTTTTCTGTTTCTTCTTTTAGTGTTTGACTTTTAATATGAGTTATAGGACACATCACTGAACTGAATTGCGTTTTGTGTTACACATGCTGTGCATGTATTTTCTGAGGGAGATTATTTGTTTTATTTTCTGTTCTTTCTCTTTCTTTTGCAGATGGATTTTAGTTCAGCCGAAGAATCAGATATCAGTGAGTCAGAGATAAACGAGTACAAAGAAAAGCCATACAAACAACTGAGATCTGGGACATATAAAGTGAAGGCTTTGAATGGCAGCTTAAGATGCCCATTTTGTGCTGGGAAGAAGAAGCAAGATTACAAATTCAAGGATTTGCTTCAACATGCATCGGGAGTTGGTAAAGGATCTGCCAACAGGAGTGCAAAACAAAAGGCGAACCACCTTGCCTTGGCAAAGTATTTGGAGACTGACTTAGCCAAAGAAACTAATCAAGAACTTGTTCCTTTACCGCAAGCACTAGCTGTGAATAAAACTCCAGTGCAAGATGAGCTGCATGTGTGGCCTTGGATGGGAATTATAGTTAATATCACTGCTGAATCGGAGGAGAAAATGGCTCGGCTTGACAAGGGTTATTGGTTAAGAAAGTTGGCCAAGTACCAACCTCTAGATGTTCAAACATTCTGGAATGCACAAGACCTAGCAGGCCAGGCCATAGTGAAATTCAATGAGCATCTGAATGGCTATGTAATTGCAACAGACTTTGAAAGGACATTTGAAAATGAGAAGCATGGCAAGAAGCATTGGAGTGCACGACAAAGAAATCCTGGTTCAAGTATTTATGGTTGGTATGCACGTGTTGATGACTATCAATCCAAGGGCCCCTTGGGAGAGTACCTTCGCAAGGAAGGAAAATTAAAAACTTTTCCTGAGATTGAACACGAATTAACAAAGGATAGACACAATGCTTTGGCAAACTTGGCCAATAAAATTGATTTGACAAATGAAAACCTGAATGAGCTGCAATGCAAGTACAATGAGAAGACAATGACTTTGAGCAGGATGCTTGAAGAGAAGGACAATCTACACCTTATTTTTCTAGAAGGTTTCTATCAATCTCTTTGCCCAGACCTGTTTGCATGTTCTTATCCTAATCTGCTTGTATTTCTTATGTATATATCTACAACTGTCCTATCTAAAGAGTATGCACATTTTTATCTGTTACCCAAGCATATATGGACAATATCATTTGTAACAAAATGTAAATCCAAATTGCCTTGTGGATCCTGGCTTTCTCTTGTTTGTGTGGTGTCATACAGGCTATGGCATTTATGCCTTTTTTTTCCTCCCCTCAAGGAATGAATCTAAATTCTGTTGCTCATTGCTTGAACAGTTCAAGAAGCATATGCCTCATAAAGAACAAGTAAAGATTGCATTTTGATATTTATTGTGTTAATTGTTCATCAGAGACAAGGAAGATGCAAAGGGATGCACGGAACAATGTTCAAAGAATCTTGGAGGAACAGGAAAAGCTAAAAAATGAACTTGAAGCGAAGAAAAGGAAACTTGATGGCTGGAGCAAAGAATTAAACAAACGTGAAGTGTTAACTGAGCGTGAGAGGCAAAAGCTTGATGAAGAGAGGAAAAAGGTAACCTATCTTATGTTGTTGACCATCTGGTCTTCAAATATTGAAAAATTATTATTATATGCATGTCATTAAGGTATACTTGATATTTAATTTTTCTTACCTATTGCAAACACTTAATCATGTTACTGCTAATCTTAGTTCATTTTTTATTAACAACAACCATGGCAGAAACTGTTCAAAATGCTTTAGGGAAACTTCTTTTGATTATTTGTTGGTAATGGTCTCTGACATTTGTGTTTTATCCTTCTAGAATGATGTCAGGAACAGTTCACTTGAGTTGGCTTCCTTGGAGCAGAAAAAGGCCGATCAAAATTTCTTGAAATTGATTGAAGAGCAAAAGGTACTTTAGTCAAAGTCCAGCTTGTCCTACTCAGTATTTGCACTTATTAGTTGGTTTACATATTCAGATTCAGTAAGTTTTATTTACGGATATCTCTAAGTTTCCAGAGGGAGAAAGAAGAATACTTAAGGAAGATACTTCAGTTAGAAAAAGATGTGGATGCTAAACAGAAGTTGGAAATGGAAATTCAGGAGTTGAAGGGGAAGTTGCAGGTGATGGAGCATCTTGGAAAAGATGATGCAGCTCTGCAGAAGATGCAAGAGATGAATGATGATCTGAAACAGAAAATTGAGGATTTGGAAGCAATGGAGTATATGACTCAAACTCTTCTCAAGAAAGAGCGCCAGAGCAATGATGAGCTCCAACAAGCACGGAAAGAGTTAATTATGGTATTCTTTTTTTCTTCCTTTTTCCCCTTATATGAATTGGCATTGGAATTATATATATTGTTTAAAAATAGTATTGAAATTATTGATAGATTATAGAGTTTTGGAATTATCTATCCAGTGGCCAAAATAAAAAAGTTTATGGGCCTGGGCTTTTTTGACATCATGAATGGGATCAGAAAAGTAGGTGATTAGGACAGTCTAACTGCATTACAAATATAAAAGAATAACTAAACTAGTTGTGATATATCAGCTGATAATTTGCTCATAAAACTCTCAGTAGAGTACCATTGGTGAGCAGTTGTTAATAGAACTTTTGGGTTTCTTTTTACAATGTAGGGTTTGGCTGATTTGTTGGGTGCTCGAACTAATATTGGAATAAGGAGAATGGGAGAAATTGACCAAAAGCCATTTCAGAACACTTGTAACCTGAGATTCCCACCTGATGAAGCAATGTTTCAAGCCACCACACTATGCAGCCTGTGGGAGGAGAAACTTAAGAACCCTAAGTGGCATCCCTTCAAAATCAAAAGTGTTGAAGGGTCACAAGACTCTCATAAGGTATGGCATTTGCATGTCATGTATCTGATAGGTGCAAACTCTAATTATCATTCATTGTTTTTACAGTTTTAGTTATAAGTTGTTTCTCTTGTTATTAGTCTTTGCACTTAGTTTCACAGTTTAGCATACTTCATATATTTTGAAGTTCCTCATTCTATTGTGCTCCCTCAGATATGCTACTTCAGTCTTTGGTGTGTAAGATTCCAAAGCTGGGCTGTGTTGATGCAAAAGTTTTCTGAAAATAGATTGTGTGGATTCTAAAGGATGCTTCTGATATTCTAGCTTTACATTTCCTTGCTTTTGGGTTGGGGGCCTTTGGGTGGAAGATGGAAGAATATGCTGAGATCAAGGGAGGGTGTAAAGTTCAATACTGTTCCGTGTGATGCAGGAAATTATAGATGAAGAAGATGAGCTGCTACGAAGTCTAAAACAGGAATGGGGAGATGAAATTTATGAGGCGGTGGTAACAGCTTTGAAGGAGCTAAATGAATACAATCCCAGTGGAAGATACACTGTTCCTGAGCTTTGGAACTTTAAGGAAGGAAGGAAAGCCACACTAAAGGAGGTTATTGCTTACATCATGAAGAATATCAAGACACTTAAAGGCAAGAAAACTCGATACTAAGGTTTGTAATCAAATATTCTTTTGAGATTCCAGCTTATTTTAAGTTCTTTTTGTAAACATTTATTATTATTATTATTATTTTAAATACCTAACCTTATGGCATTCATAGTTGTTTTTATCACAATTCTTCAATGATCCTTGAGATTGCTTTTTGGAGATGGACTATAAGCTAATTCTTTGGCAATTCATCACAGTTTGGATTTCCATGTTGCTATTGACCTGGTGGAACTTATTTTGACTCTGTTAGGTTGTCTTTTTGGCTTTTCTTTTCTTTATGCCTAAATTAAAGAAACTTGTTCATTATCTAGTTATACGTTCAGTTAGCTTCATCCATATATTATGTTCTTCTGTTTAAAACATCCTTGCGCAAACAGACAAGCACTTACTATTGTCTAAATCTGAAGTTTCACTGCTTGCAGTTTGATAATGATATTTAAATTGTGCGATAAGCAGGATGCAGGGTGAAAATTGAACTGGTCTGGACTGGAGCAATGTGCGTCTCATGCAAGAAGATACAAGAATATGGTGGTGGTTAGGTATCACGGTGTAAATAAATATGTTGTAAATAAGATTTGCAGTTCTCTTGACGCTGTTAACTTCATTTTCAGTGAGAAACTGTGTCAATATGGATAGTACTAAATATGTACATCTGCTACCCCTTTGATATCATATTAGTGGTTATCATTCTGATGTTTGGTCATCTTTCAGTCCGGACTGATAGAAATTTTTCTCTAATTTGCTTTACGTATTAGGAATCAAAAGCACTTTGTGCATTGAAGAACAAAATGTTGCAGCTTGCAATCTCATTTAACAGATACAAATAGGACTAAAACATAAAATAATTCATACCCTTGAATTTTGATGGTAAACTTCTTTGAAATGTTACTCAATATTAGAATATGAGAATTTTGTTTTGCAGTTTGAAGCTGCAGTTTGAATTGTATGAAACTGCAAATAAGAATTGTTGGATGAAGCACAACCCCTAATAACAAGGGGTTCATCCCCTGTAATGGTTTAAGTTATATGGTCTGGACCACACAATAATTTTTTGTTGGAAGATTTCAAGCATATGATTATTCAGCACAACCAAACTGTCAACTGATTCTAAGAGTATGAGATCATCCCATGAACACAGAAAATTATGTATGCTTATCTATTCGAACCTTTTCTTCTCAAATCCTAAAGAAAATTCTCGTCATTGGACAATGAGGTCAGCGTGTGCTTCTACAGACCAATCAAGGAGTTGATTTCTAAAATGATATATACAAAACGTTCAGTCTGGAATGGTAGTTGGACCTGCAGTAGCAAAGGTGAACTGTAAATAGCTGTCATGTATCTAATAAAAATAAGAATTTGAGCAGTTCATGTAATTAAATTATCCTGCATGGCTCCATCCCCCTGACTGCTTTCTTTCGTTCAATTCAGATGAGAAAATAAAAAAGAAAAAGATAGAAAATTAAATTTGGGTAGCCTAAGAAAAAGGTTTAAGAAAAGAAATTCTTACCCTTAAGTTGAAGGGGATAGTCATTGACCGTAATCTTTGAAACTCAACCTTTCTTGTATGGTGTCCAACCTTCTATTGTCTCCTACAAGGCCAATTCAAATAATCATCAATCTCTTGATTATTCACAAACTGACAAAACTGCACATATATAAAAATGGCAATTGAGACAGGGAGGGTACCGGGGTAGTGAGGATTACCTTGATGTTCTCTTTCATGTGACTCAAAGAAATTTTCATTATCTGTTGCCAGGAAAGGTGAACTAGCGTAGCTCTCCAGTATATCTGAAAATATTAACAAGTATGGTAAACATAATTCCAATATTAAGATGAAATGATGAATTAATTACTACTCTATGATTGGATAAGTGAACTACGGGAGAAGTCAGCTGTTAAATCTGATAGACTCAAATTCTGAGGAATCTGACCTAAAATTCCAATTGAAGAAATGTCTGCATCCAGAAGTGGGTCATTCAGGGGTTGTGAGCTTGACTCTACACCACCGAATGATGCAACAGCAACAGATGCATCCCCAAATGGCGGGCATGCCTCCAGGACATTGCCATCAGCACCAAACATGTAAGGCGTGCTGCCTGCAAAACCAGGTTCGGGTTTGACTAGTCTGCCATTTATTCCCTGCATCAGACCCATGTTTGAGCTCTGACTTGAAAGCATGGCTGGTGGGGCATCAACCCTACCAGGATGGGCAGGTATTTCGACAGCAGCATACATACCAGTATGCACAGATGAACTGCCATTAGTGAATACATTGGGCAAGCTGGGAGCAATAGGATGGTGAAAATCCTCCTGCTTCAAAGATGGTCCTGCATTCTCCAGGGGATAGCAGGCTGAGTTCTGAGGCACTGTATAAGAAAGCACTGTCAATTGCGAAATTAATAAAGCTTGAAGAAAGCAACTGCAGGTTTTTGTGGCAGTAACAATAAGTTATACCCGAAAAATGTGTGGAAGTATATTAATTGAAACAAAGCCTTAAGTTATGGAAACTCAACCAACAACCAATCAGCTATTTAAATATAAGATCTTAACATCACTGAGAACTTTCAGACAACAACCCGATTCAGATGTGGATACCAAGCCTGCCTCCTCTCCCC